GGGCGGAGCCGCGGGCTTGACTGCGCCGTGCCACCCCCGCCGCCGGGTTCCTGTGGCGACACACGCGCGGCCGCTGGGGGGAGACAGCGGTGCGCGCCCGCACCGTTGGCTCTGGGCTGCGCGCAAGCTGCCTGAGCTGGGGAGGCGGAGATGGCTTGGTCTGAGCACGCTAATAGGGTCTCGGAATCACAGCGTTCTCTGTCCCCAATTCTGGATGCTATGTCTGGGGTCCCGGTCTCATAGCCCATTTAACCTCCTTAGGACAACGTAGAGGGAGACGGCGGAATCTACCTTTTTATTAATGCTTCCAATCAGACGGACGAGCCCAGTGTTTCCACGCAACAGTTCTGGGGCGGGTGGGAGCGGAGGATCGCAGGAGGGACACTTTCTTAAGGACTGATCAAAGAGTCCAACCCGAGAGCGGGAAGGAGGCCAGGCCAGCCCCAAACCTAAAAGCACAGCCTCCAAGTCACGATTTGGAGCAAACCTTTTAGCCAACCCACCCAACCCTCACTGGGCCGCTCCCCTCCAGCCTGCTGGCAACAGACTCTCAGCTCTCCGTGGCCAGGCTGTGCGCTGTGGAAGCTTTTCAAAATGCTACGGAGAAGCATATCAAATGCCTTCTCTGGTGCTGGCCGGCGCCGAGGGCGGGAAAGGACCTTCTGAGCAGCACCTTCCTGGTCCCCAAGACAGTTCTCCTCGGTGAGGAACCTACCCAATGCTCGAATAAGGGAGGTATCCGTCTTACACGTGCAGATTCCCTACCCTTCCTGCCTTTTTTCTTCCTTTAGCTTTGGAAACTCACATTTGAAATCCGGTGAAAATTTCAACTAAGAGAAATTTCAGATTAGTTCGAACTGTGAAGGTTCCGGTGTGCTGCGAGTGTGGCTCAATTGTGGAGGCGAAACCAATCCCTCAAGTGCAGAGTATATCCCTAGGCCGCCCTAACTGACGTCAGGTTCTACTGCCGCTGCCGGTTTGTGGATGTTAAGGAGCTGGGGCCGCTCCGTTCTTGTTCCTTCTGGATGCCAGCACGTCCCCTTTCTACTTCTGACATCTTTTACCAAATTTTAAGTTTTCAACATGAAAAATAACTGGTGAGATCAGTGTGAAGACACAAACCCGAAGGGAGTCAGATTTGAGGATAGATGTGCAGTGGGGGAGCCAGTCTAACTGGTACAGAGGCGCAGAAGGTTCATGCCCGCCTGGCATTGCACTAGGAGAGGGGGGGTTCCCGGGAGGCCCTGGGAGTCTTGACTCAGCAGCACCTACACAGTGTTTTGTACAAAGAACAACTCCGACTATTGGTGAAATCAAAGCGAAGCAGACCCAAGGTCTGTTTGCCCTGGTCTCCTGATGGTTTTGTTTAGGACTTTATTCTATACCATTCTTTGATTTTCATCATTTGCAGCAGCAGCAGCACCACCGTTATCATCATCATCCTCATCCTCATCACTAAGGAAGGGCAAGTGGGTAGAAGTATCTGCCTGCAACTTCCTGAGAGTCCTTCAGGATCAAATGGTGAAACGCTGACACAGAGAGAGCCTGGGCAGGCATCAGTACCAACTGCTTTTCTCCTTGTTCTGACAAAATGCCTGGTAAGGCAACTCAGGAAGGTGTGCTGGCTAGTTCTCTGTCAACGTGACACAGGCTAGAGCCACCCAAAAGGAGGGAGTGTCGATGGCTTCAGGCAAGAGTGATTTTTTAGGGATTGATGGAGAGGGCCCAGCCAGCCCATGGTGGGTGGCTCCATCCCTAGGCTGGTGGTCCTGGGTTCCCTAAGAAAGCAGGCTGAGAAAGCCATGGGGAGCAAGCCGATATGCAGCCCAGTCCATGGCCTCTGCACTAGCTCCTGCCTCCAGGTTCCTGCCCTGTGGGGGACCCTGCTCTCGCTGCTCTTTGATGAAGAACTGTTACATGGAGCTGTGAGTGAAATCAACCATTTCCTCCCTAACTTGATTTTGGTCATGGTGCTTCATCACAGTAACAGTAACCCTAACTGAGAAAGAAGGGGAAGTTTGTTTTACTAGTTTGAGGGCACAGTCAGTCATGGTGGGGAAGGCATGAGGGTGGGAGCCAGATGCAGGTGGTCACAGTGCATCCACAGTCGGGAAGCAGAAATGGATGCTGATGGAATTCAGCTTGCTTTCTCCGGTCCCCCGTATTTACTCGGTTAATGGCAGGATGTCGCCCCCATTTGGGGTAGCTCTTCCTCGCTCCGGTAAACTTTTTCTGGAAATGCCCTTATTGACATGCCCAGAAGTATGTTTCCATGGTGATTTTAAATCACACCAAGCTGATAATCAATATTAATTATCACAGGTCTGCGCCTCATGATTCTATATGATTTAACTGCTGTGGAAGACCTCCCAAGTTTTCTAAGACACATTTTTATTGGCAAAGAAACTGAATTCTAAAGACTCCTAGCTGCTGGCGCCACATTGCCATATACTAAGAGGGATGATCTAGCTGAGACCCATGTCATGGTTGCCCTCTACCCAAGGCCCCCAGATCCCCAGACCTCAGACCTCCAGGTGTAATTAGGTGTTTCTCTCCCATTTGCCTGTTTCCATTTATCTGGCAGTCCCAAATAATTGACTTGGAGGCTTAATATAAATTATAAATGCCTGGTCAATAGCTCAGGTTTGTTACTAGCTTACTCTTACATTTAAATTAACCCATATTTCTATTTATGCTTTGCCACATGGCTTGACACCTTTTCTTAGTACAGTGTGTCCATCTTGCTCTCTGTGCGTCTGCCAGCAACTCTCTGACTCTCCCCTTCTTCTTCCCAGAATTCTCCTACTTTGGCTCTCCCTCCTGCTCAATCTCTTTTTGTTCAGCTATTATCCAATTGGCTTTTTTTAAAAAAATTACCATTGATAAATAATAATAATCCACAATGCTCAGGCTTGCTGCTGTTGACCAGCTGGTCTGGGACTGATCTGCTGTGCCTTAGCCACAGCAGAGAAGATGAGAAAGTCTGGCTGAATGTGATTGCCATGATCTCTAAGCCAGAGATCTTGGGTAGTGATGGGCCCATCCCCCTGGAATAGGATTGCCATTGGAAATCCCAGACAGTGCTTGATTTGTACCTGTTTCTGAGTGCACTTATTTCTAGAGTGGTTGTTTCATGCTGATGCGGTGTATCTCCCAAGGGTTCACATGTTGAAACCCCTAAGTTAGGAGTCATCGGTCTTTTAAGAGATGGGCTTATTGGGACATTATTATTGGTGCTCTCTGGTCTTTGGTTCCTCCTGTAAACACTCCCACTGGAAGGCCATCTACCAGGATGTGACAGTCAGTCAGGGCCCTTGAAAGAGCTGTGCCTTGCTGTTTGGATTTTCAGCTTGCTCAGTGGTGCGCCAAACAGAGTCATTTCTTTCCTAATGGCTCAGGAGTTTCCTTCTAGCAGCAGGAGGCAGAGTGGTACAGCATTTACATAAGGTGTCTGGTCGCGGACACTGTCAGAGAGTGAACTGATCAGGACTAATGCTGATGCTGGCACAAGAGGCCCAATCAGGACTGGCGCACTCACAGACACCAGGGTTAACTCATGTCTCATCTGCCTCACTTGCAGAATTCAGGACCACCAACTCTATAAAAGTCTTAAATCAGGGCTGGAGAGACGGCTTAGCTGTTAAGAGCACATGCTGCTCTTCTAGAGGACCTGAGTTTGATTCCCAGTATCCAGGTCAGGTGGCTCACAACCGCCTGTAACTCCAGACACAGAGATTCTGACGCCCTCTTCTGGCCTCCACAGGCATGCACACATGCACACACTATGTAAAAGAAAGCAAAATCTTAAACAAAATCTCTAAAGCCAAATGTTATTTAAAATGTTAGTTAAAGAATAAAAATAACCAAAATTTGTAAGTGGAGATGTTTAAGAGAGTCACACACACGTTGTCTTTGGGGACTTCCCATATAGCAGGGTCACGATAGTCACACGGATTATATAGGGGATGGAAGTGTTTATGGCGCACATAAAGCCTTAAAGCCAGCCAGCAGAGTGAAGAGGTGTGTCTGTAGTGCTGCACAGCAGCTGCCATGGCACACTGTGACATACTGAGAAGAAAGGACCAGAAAGGGCGCTTCCAGCAGAAGTTGCTGTGTTAGAGCAGGTGGATATTGTTTCTTTGTTTCCTCCAGCCAATGAATGTGAGCGGCAGGAGGCTGGTCAAGGGAGGCAAAGGGGAGCCTGCGGGGCTCATCATAGACTTCCTTCTAATGTGGTAGATTCCAGAAAGCTCTGCCATATAGGAGGAATGAAGAGATCAAACTCCATCCAAATGTGCGACGGGACTCATTTTGCTACAGTTGCGCCCCGTTTACTCCATTTCCAGCTGTTCAGAAAGGACATTCCATACTCACAATGAAAATAGATAGACGTTTAAAACCCACCCTGTTAATGATTAAGCTTTTGACTTCAGAAGAGCTGAGCGGAATGCGTCTAGTTGAACATAATAACATCAAAGGAGAACCGTTCTCCTCCAGTGGTAGCTAGAGAAACGGTGTCTAGGGAGTCTACAGCCAGAGCACAGGACAACTGAGGGTGAAAACATGCACGGGAGGGAACTAAGATGGCTCCCTATAGGCC